TCTTTAAGAACCAAGTGGCTATAATTCCTAGAAATGAAAATAGTAACTGCAACAGACTGACACAAGTGAAAAAGAGAATAGATGAACTAGAAGATAGCAAAAAGTTATAAAGCAGCCCAGAAATTAAAAAGTACAGAAAGGTATAGAGAAGACAGTTACTAAGGGAAAAGAGAAATGGTCTTAGGTGACCCTGCTAGCGGTTCTCAACCTGTGGGTTGCAACTCATGTGGGGGTCAAACGACCTTTCCACAGTGGTCGCCTAAGACCATCGAAAAACACAGATATTTACATAACGATCCATAACAGTAGTAAAATTACAGTTATGAAGTAGCAACGAAAATAATTTTATGGTTGGGGTTCACCACAACATGAGGAACTGTATTAAAGGGTCACAGCATTAGAAAGGTTGAAAACCACTGAAATAAAGAAACTTTCAAAAAAAAGCATTGCCAGAGATCAAAAGGAACATTAACTAAACATAAAATATTTTAGTTATAAGATACATTTGAATATTTGCATAAACCTAATGCATAGCAGAAGATAGGGGTTAAGTGAGGACATAAATGAGATGGTAAGGGAGGGGAAAGGAGTTCAATGAGAAATCAAGAAGAAATATATAAATCTACAATAATGATGTGAAATTTTACTACAAAAGCAAACAACAAATGAGAAAAATATAAAATATTTAACATAATTATTGAACAACCTTAACCTTTCTGCACCTAAAAAACATAAGATAGTGCCCATAGAACTGTCAGCTAATTTCTCACAGAAACTTTGCAGGCCAGAAGGGAGTGGAAAGAAATATTCAAAGTGATGAATAGCAAGGACCTACAACCATAAGTAATCTACTCAGCAAAGTTATCAATTAGAATTGATAAAGAGCTTCAAAGGTAAGAAAAAGCTAAAGGAGTTCATCACCAACAAACCAGTATTGAATGAAATGTTGAAGGGTATCTTTAAGGAGAAGTTTAAAAATATAAATAATAAAATGGCTATAAATACATAGTTACCAACAATTGAATCTAAAAATCAAAATAAATGAACAAGGAATCTAATGAACAAAATAAAATCATGAATAAAATAGAACCAGATTCTGAACCTAATAAATGCATTTGGCAATGTAGCAGGATACAAAATTAACACTCAGAAATCTATGGCTTTTTTATACACTAATAATGAACTCACAGAAAGAGAAGAGAAAAAATCCCATCTACCATTGCACCAAAAAAATTAAAATACCTAGAAATAAACTTAACTAAGGACGTAAAAGACCTGTACTGGGAAAACTACAGGATACTGAAAAAAAAAAAAGTGATAGAGGAAGACATAAACAAATGGAGGAGCATGTAGATACAACCTAAAGCAATCTACAGATTCAATGCAATCCCCATTAAAATATCAATTGCACATTTCAAAGATTTAGAACAAAATCTCCAAAAATTCATCTGGAATAAAAAAAGACCCCGAAAAGCCATAGCAATCCTGAGAAAGAAGAATAAAATCGGAGGAATCACAATACCAGATTATCAAGCTATATTACCAAGTCACGGTTCTCAACTGCCTGGTACTGGCACAAGAACAGACATATAGACCAATGGAACAGAACAGAGAACCCAGAAATCGACCCAAGCCATTACGCTCAATTAATATATGACAAAGGAGGCAAGAACATACAATGGAGTTCAGACAGTATCTTCAATAAGTGGTGCTGGGAAATTTGTCAGACACATGCAAAAAATGAAATTAGATCACCAACTTACACCATACACAAAAACAAACTAAAAATGGCTAAAGGACTTAAATGTAAGAAGGAAAACCATAAAAATCCTACAAGACTCCACGGGCAGCAAAATAGCAGACATGTATCGTAGCAATATCTTTACAGACACAGCTCCTACGGCAATGGAGACTAGGGAGAAAATAAATAAATGGGACTACATCAAAATAAAAAGCTTCTGCACAGCAAAAGAAACCATCAACAAAACAAGAAAGCCCACTGCATGGGAGAACATATTTGCCAATGATATTTCCAATAAGGGTTTATTCTCCAAAATTTACAGAGAACTCATGCAACTTAACAAAAGGAAGATAAACGATCCAATCAAAAAATGGACAAGGGATCTAAATAGACATTTTTTGAAAGAGGACATACAAAAAGTCCAGACATATGAAAACATGCTCAAAGTCACTAATCATCCAAGAGATGCAAATCAAAACAATAAGATGCCATCTCACACCTGTCAGAATGACTATCATCAAAAAATCAATAAATAAAAACTGCTCAGGAGGATGTGGAGAAAAAGGAACCCTCATGCACGGCTGGTGGGAATGCAGACTTGTGCAGCCACTATGAAAGACAGTATGAAGTTTCCTCAAAAAGTTAAAAATGGAACTGCCATTTGACCCAGTCATCTCACTTCTAGGACTATATCCCAAGAAACCAGAAACACCCATCAGAAAGGATATATGCACCGCTATGTTCACAGCAGCACAATTTACAATAGTTAAGATGTGGAAACAGCTTAAGTGACCATTAGCAGATGAGTAGATTAAAAACTGTGGTACTTCTACACAATGGGATACTAAGCCGCTATTAAAAAGAAAAAGAAAAAAAGAAAAAATAAATAAAAAAGGAACTTTTACCAGTTGCAACAGCATGGATGAAACTGGAAAGCATTATGCTAAGTGAAATAAGCCAGTTAGAGAAAAATAAATATCATATGATCTCACTCATATATGGAATATAAAGACCAACATAATTTGATGAACAAGAATAGATCCAGAGACAAATGGTGGGGGGGGGGGGCAGTTAGAGAGGAACTAAAGGTCTTATAGGCATGCATACACAGGCACTGAGGCAATGGGGGCTTAGCTGGGGTAGTGGGAGGTCAATTTGGGGGAAAACACACACACACATACACACACACACACACACACAACCAGAGGCATGGAAACATGAAACAGACTGACTAATCTCAAAGGGAAGCGGTGGTGGGGTGTGAAGAGGAGGAGGGAAGAGATTAGCCAAAGAACATATGCATATATGTATTACCTATGGACACAAACAATAGGATGATAACCTGGGTGGAGCAGGAACTGGTGGAGGGGAATAATGGGGATAAGGGAATGGGAAACCATCTGTAATACTCTCAACAATAAAGATTAAAAAAAAAGATTAAAAAAGGATAAAAAAAAAAAAAAAGAAAAATCCAATAGGACACATATAGATTAAATTAGATAAAATATGTAAAGTACATCACTCAGTGCTTGCCTTGCTCATTTTAAGGCTGTATAATTAACACTCCCTTTCTATCACATAGCCTAATCTCTTGCAACTCTTCACCCACTGCTATGGTCTCGGATTTAGCCACAAACTCCATTTATGTCCTATTATTATAATGAGCAGCGCTTTTCTGTCTTCAGGCATTTTTGTACAAGTTGTTAACTTGGCCTTCCTCCTCCCCATTAACGTTATTTTACTCAACCTCAGTTTCACCACAGTTTCTTCCTATTCGATGCACTTTCTTACAAATATCCCCCCATTCACAGAGAGCCCCAGCTGGATGAGAATCCCTCCTTGTTATCCCCAGAGTGTTCTATGGTTAGGCATATAGATCTCAGATTAAGACAAACTCTAAATCATGAATTTGGAATTTACAAACTGCATGATATCCAAACACTTATCTAAGCCCTTTATTCTCATTTTCCTGATGTACAAAATAAAGATTACATTTGCCTGATAAAATCAGGAACTAATATTAAATGAGGTAATGTACGTAAAGTGCACACAGCTCAGCACATATCAAGTCATTAGATAGTAACTACTGGTATATTTCCCTCATTGTTCTTTATAATAAAGACTCCATTAAAAATTACAAATCCCCTGCCCTGGCCAGTGTGGCTCAGCTGTTTGGAGTGTCATCCTATGCACCAAAGATTGTTGTTCAATCCCAGGAGGCAACTGATGTTTCTCTCTCTCTCTTAAATCAGTAAAACATATTTTCAAGTGAGAATTTTAATACTGACTGGAGGGCGGGGGACAGAGATTCCTGGTAACAATTTTATGCTCAGGAACAGTGCTTAGTACAAGGTAGGTGCTCTGTAAATATTTATTAAACTACTTATATCAATATGGTGAGCTATAACTTGAACAGAAATAAAAGAACCTTTAAGAAATCAATTTGATTAGTGATCTCAATAAACTATCACTGTTCTTTTTCTATTAGAAAGAAAATAATGATGATTTATCAAATGATTTCCCCCATGTAGAATTTAATCTATTAATATTTACCTATATTAAGAAAAATATCAGTTATCCATTAATATGATAAAAATAAAACTTCACTTTAACAAACTGCCTACGAATTTCCAACCAACTATAAACTTAAAAAACCTGATTCTGGTACTTATATATGAAGACAAAAATACTGACAAGCAAACAAAATAACCAATGATAGCAACTAGCACAGGTAAAAATAATATCAGACAATATTAATTATAAAGCTCAATTCATAAATTCCTGAAATGAATTTCAGATTTCCTTCAAAATTTCAAAATATGTTTTGCTATTGTTAATCCTCATCCGAGGATAATTTTCCATTGATTTTAGAGAGAGTGGAAGGGAGAGAAAAAGACAGAAACACATCGATTGGTTGCGCCTGCATGAGGCTTGACCTGGCTGGAGCCGGGGAGGTGATTGTAACCAAGGTATGTGCCCTTGCCCAAAATCGAATCCAGGTCCTTTGGGTCCGAAGGCCAACTCTATCTACTGAACTAAAACTGGCTAGGGCTTAAAATATTTAGAAATATGTTATTTCACAGGACCAAGCTAAACCAGAAATAAAACACCCTTAAAAATTTTAATAATAATCTTCTTTATCAGAAAAAATTAGCACATAATTCTATGTTGAATTATGTATAACTAATGGGAGATTAAATAAATTGACATTGCTGGACTGATAGGCTCAATGTACATCATTTATCCCAACATTCTGTACCTCGACATCCTGAACACTGGATAAAAAAGTTGATTAAATCCAGAAGTGCGATGTCCCTGTCTTGTTTATATGATTCAATCCAGTCATCCACCACGGACTGTGGAAAAGAAAATATAAAAATGAAAACTTCAGAAAAAAATAGTAGAGCAAATAATTTTACAAAAACACAAAAAAACCATTGTGGTTCTCTGTGTGTATTTATTCAAAGAAATAACTACTTACCACTACTACTAGCACATAAAAAGAGTATACATCATATATAACAAATTGCATGTAACTGTAACAAAGATGAAAATATAAAACATTTCTAGAACCAAAACAGTTCTCAAGTTTCCTCCTAGTCAGTAACTATTTACATAAATATAAACGTTTTTAGTATCAGAAAATCTAATCCACTACTACTAGCACATAAAAAGAGTATACATCATATATAACAAATTGCATTTTTCTTCAGGAATGTAAGGATGGCTTAATTTTAGACAAATCAAATAATTTAATTTACAAAAAATTAGTAAAATATTGGTAAAGACAATTTTCCTCTCCTAAAGTTGATTAACACACACACACACACACACACACACACACACACACACACAAAAAAAACACCTATTTAGTCTGTTCTAAACAGACTTGAAAGATAATTAAAAACATTAACATAGTTGACAAAGGATAAGTGTACAAAATAATTTTTAATATTACAATATATAAAAATCATGATAGCCTATTCATAACTAAAAATATCTAAGAATACATTTTTAAAGGTATATGTACTAATAAAGAAAATTATAAAAAATTTACCTAAACACGTATCATACATTAAACCTGAATCTAAAAAAGGCTTAGAACTGTATCAATAAAGTTTCTCCAAGTTGTTAGGCAAATTTAATATGATTGCACTTAGCATATTAGTGGGTAAAAATTGGTTGGAGCCGAGACCGGTTTGGCTCAATGGATAGAGCGTCGGCTTGGGGACTGAAAGGTCCCGGGTTCGATTCCGGTCAAGGGCATGTACCTTGGTTGCGGGCATATCCCCAGTAGGGGGTGTGCAAGAGGCAGCTGATCGATGACTCTCTCTCATCGATGTTTCTAACTCTATCTCTCTCCCTTACTCTCTGTACAAAATCAATAAAATATATATATTTTTTTAAAAATTGGTTGGAGATTTTCTTGGGTGAGAGAAAATATACAAAAATAAGTTTTAAACAAAATTTTTCTGTTTTTGCACGAAGATATAAATTATACACAGTAAGATGCATAAATCTTGTTATACCTAGATGAATTTGGATAAATACTACATGTACCTATGTAACTGTAACAAAGATGAAAATATAAAACATTTCTAGAACCAAAACAGTTCTCAAGTTTCCTCCTAGTCAGTAACTATTCCCAGCTCATATGGTTTAATTATTTTTCCTTAACATTTGACATGTTTTTAAAATTCATATAAACAGTATCATCTTTTGTTTGATTTCTTTCAATCAAAGAGAGATTCAGCCATATTACTATGTTTATCACTAATTCCTTTTTTGCATTGCTGAGTAGTATCCACTGTATTAATATACCACAATTTTAATAGTTTTATTGTTCATGGACATGAGTGTTGTTTACATTTTAGGCTATCACAAAATTGTTATGAATATAACTGTACACATCTTTTGATAGACATACATTTTTCTGTTGTATATATACCAAATAGCAGACTTGTTAATAGAGAAAATATGTACATTGAGGGTTGGAAGATAATGTCAAATAATTTTCCAAAACGGGTATATTAAATTGTACTTCCACCTACAATGTATAATATCTTAGCAAAGTATGAGATTGGGTGTTTCATATCCTCACCAATACTAGTATTGTCAGTACTTTTAATAAAGCCCATTCAGGTTGAATACACACCTTGTTTAATTTATTACCTAGTCTACTGAGGAACAACCACATTCCCTTCTTCTATGTCAAAGAGAACTTTTTGTTAACTGCTGCTATACACAACACTGTTTCTTTGTCTCATCAAATTAGTGTTCGGAAGGTACTATTTTAAAAGTAACCAGAAAATCAGAGAGAGTATTTTGGTTGTGGGAGAGGGTAAAAAGAAAAAGAATGGCATGGTGTCTGTTCAATATTCAGCTCTATTGAATAATGTGTCAAACCACATGGGCTACGGTAGTAAGTACTAAGAATGGAAAGAGTAAATCAAGAGTAACTGAGACTTGGGACCCAAGGAGAAATGTTTTGTGACACAGGTAACAAAGAGAGGCACAAAAATAAGGAGAAAATCATTTCCTTACTTCTACACGAGGCCTAGCAATTATGAAGACACAATGAAGATGGTGCCCAAATTTTCTTTAGTTCCTAAAGTGATATCAATTTCTAATCTCACTGGTTATGTATGAAGAGCCCAAAACATGCTGAATAAAACTAGTGAGCAAGAGCTTGCATTAGAAAAACTAAATCTGCACACAAATATATTGAAAACAAAACAGACTGGAAATACTATAGGACTAGAAATACAATATAAAAGAATAGAAATCAATCCATGTAAGCATAGAACTTAAGCTATGACAAAGGAATATTTTCAATTTTAGAGGAATAGGGGTGAATTAATAAGTGATAACTGATGTAATTGATTATTCATTTGGAAGTAAACACCCTATACTTTTAAAAACCTATCAGAAATGTGGAAGCAAAGGACTTTAAAGAACTTAAACTCCAGAGAGACAAACCCTTCTTTGACAGAAACTGGTGACTGTTAGAGGCACTGCCAACTATGGGCATAGGTGGATGGATGATTATATATAAGGGCCTTAACCAGGAGGCAGGATAAAACAGAAAACTACATATGTCATATCAAAATCAACTTGCTAGGGATCTTAAAAAAGAGAGAGAGAGAGAAAATTTAAAACAGACAATTTTAAAACAACCTACAGGGAACCAAAGGATTAAAAAAATGGCACACTTCTCATCAAAAACAATGAAAGCCAGGGGATAATTGAATGACATATTTAAAATACGGAAAGAAAAAAGAATTGCCCATCAGTAGGAGGAAAAAAAACCAGCTTCCCTGTTGCCTCACAAAGATCAAAGATTGGATAGCTATCTAAAAACAAAACAAACAAACAAACAAACAAAAAAAAAAACAGTTCTGGGAGACTTTTAGAGTCCACTAAGGAAATTTTAACAACAGCAAAACAGAATAAGCACACAAAAAGAAGAGGAAGACATTGTTTTTTAACCGGCATCATCCCCCAAACTGATACTGTTCAGCACTAAGAAACTTCCCAGCAAGAAGAGTTCCTCTAAACAGAAAAGAGTAGGGTGAGTGACCAGCTTCTTAGCCTCATAGGATACTGCACACAGGTCCCACTTTGGTTCCACCCCATCCAGACCAGCAAAGCTCAAGTGTGGGAAGCCGGCTAGGAACAGAATAAAAGCAGAGGTTAATATTAGCAGACATACAGCAGGTGTGATCACGGTTCAGAGACCAGCTCTGCAGACTAACTCAACAGATTTTGCCACTGATGAAGCCAAATGCCAGCAGGACCACTGAAGCCTTGTCTACTTTCCTCCTAGAGGTATTTGCACTCAAATGGCAGCTACTGGAGTCCTTCCTGATCCTTTCTCTTGCCACTGCAGGACAGCACCTTCAGCCATCCATGAACTCTACTGCTGCAAGAGTAATAATCCAGCTTCCTCAGCCTGTCACCCAACATCCCACCATCATGGGAGCCATGGCTTAAAGCCAAATTGGGATTCTGCAGCTTCACCATTGCAAGATACCAGCCTAGTGCCTATTCCCACCACCACCACTGTGCCAATGCTCAGGAGTAACCCCTCCGGCTTTGCACCACTAACCTGATACCAATCATTGGCCTTCACTGCAATGCAAATGCAGGGGGGTGAGGAGGTATGCAGACACCAATGAGTGCACTGACAGTCAAGGTACCACTGTTAGTAGGCCCAAATCAGGCTCCCTCTTCTGTAACTAGCCAGCATCACTATGCCTACTTATAACTACCCCCTGCCAAGCTGTGTACCTGCACACCATAACGAATCATGAGTCTCCACCGTAGTGTGCATGTCTGGGGAGAGAGACCTGGCAACCACAGAAGAGGATGCTGCTAGCCAGAGCCTCTATAGCTGCCAGTGAAACCAGTTAGACCCAGTCCTTGCTACCTGCACTGGCCCACATCACTACAAGTGCGTATGCAACTGGCCTCTGCCACTATGTAAGTGTCTGCAGCTGACCACCACAGCTGAGTGTTTGCACACCACTGGCTCCAACCACCATCACTGACTGACTTCATCTCTAGCTACTGGATCTGAAGGTGCTGCCTAACATATCGACAACCCTTCAGTAATTGCAGATTGTTGCTTACACTGCTTGCCAACAACCACACAGTCAATGCTGTGGACACAAGTGGCATTAGCCAATGAGACATCACGAACCCCTATTCTCTGCCAGACCCAGTGCTGCCACATGCCCCTGAATTTAGTACTTGCACCACTAAACTCAAGTCACAGCATAGTCCAGTGTGCCCTTAGCACAGGTGAAAGAATTCCCTTACTGGAAATCAGTTTATAGAGTCTGGAAGAGGTACTACTTCTTCAAATGTGCAGATACAAAAGCAGGACATTGATTAGAAAAATCAGAGAGATATTTCTCCACCAAAGGAATATAGTACATCTCCAGTAACTAGGCCAAAGAAACAAATCCAGAAATTGCCTGAATAAGAACTCAAAACTGTTCTACAGATGGCCAGAGAGCTAGCTATAAAAGAACACAGATAAACAATTAAAATGATTAAAAAACACACAAGAACAAATGAGAAGTTCAATAAGCAATAGAAAACACAAGAAAGAACTAAACAAATTCTAGAGGTGAAGAATATATAACTGTAATGAAGAATTCACCGAGTTTCAACAGCAGACTTGGAACAAACTGAATGTAGAACCACTGCACTAGAAAACAGATCAGCTGAAATTATCCAATCAGGAGCAAAAAGAAAAAGGAATCAAGAAAGCCTACAGAAATCATGAGATATCATCATAAAAAAGTAACATATATTTCACTAGAGTCCCAGGAGGACAGAGAAAAAGGTA